TCCATCACCCTGCACATCGATACAAATTTCAAACGCAGGTCTATGGAAATACATTCAACACCAACGCATCTTAGATGCTAGTTGAAAGAAGAAAAGGCATAACACATAGGAAGAGGAGAGAGTCGGAATAGAACTTACCTAGACTTTTTCGATCACCGAAAAAGTTATCAAAGAATTCATCACCTCTGGTTCAGGTTTTTCTTTCTTTCAATCGATTTCTTCCCTTTTTCCATGTACGATTGTTGGAAACTTGTTGGTTTGATTCCATGTGTCAATAATATTAAATAATGTTCAAACACCGTTTATTTTCAATTTTTTTTCAAAAACCTATGGTAACCATTTTGAGTCGAGATTGAGTGTCATTGTTGTCTTTGTTTGGTTGGCATCACGAGAGAAAGATGAAGAAGGAGTTTAAGAGAATAGAGAGTTGAGTTTATTGAGAGCTGATAGAAAGAGGTAGAAATCGAGTGAGAGATTCAGAATATTGAGGAGAGGCGTTGTTTTTGTTGGTGGTTGGTTTTGAGAGAGATTGAGAAGCAGAGAAACGTTCGGTTGAACATGAGAGCATAGAAAGGTGGAGATCAATAGAAATATGAGAGATGAGATTTGAGAATAGTTGTTGTTAATGTTATTTACACGTGAAAGCTGAGTCATGAGAAATGATGGAAATAACAAGGATCGTTGTTGCTGTTGTTTAAAGGGCGAGGCAGGGACTGTTGAGAAAGATGATTTAAGAGAATGACGATTGAGAGGAGTAGCGAAGAACAGAGAAACGGGGGAAGCGTTTGACAATGGAATTAGGGTTTTCAACCCTGTTTTGATTTTCTCAATAGATCGTTGGGTCCGGACCTCCCTGACCCGGTCCGGCCCAGCACGCTTTTGTTTATTTAGTTTTTGGTTTTTTTTTTATTTTTATAAATCCTTTTATATGTTTTTTTGGCCCTGCAAAAGTTATTCATCCTTCATCCCATTCCTAACATGCTATCCATACCTCTCTTTCGCCAGTAGTTCCCCCCGAGCCCAATTTTGCATTTTTATTTCTTAATCTTACTTTTTTTATTTATTTAATACAAAAACAAAAATGATTGTTTTACCTTCTTAATCAACTAATAATATGAAATCACAAAAATCACAAAAACATTAGAATATATTTAAAATTAGATTTTAATTTTCTTTTAATATTTTCTTTACTTAAAAAATCACAAAAATATTAGAATATGTTAGAAGTAGGTTTTAATTTACTTTTGAATACATTATTTATTTAACTTGATAAAAACCAATAAAATATTTAGAATAAAAGTTTCTTTATTTGTCAGTTCAAAACCTTGAGACCATACTCCCTTAGGTGGCTCCATGAGGCGATTAAATCCTGTTTCGATCGCTTTATATCGAGGTAGGCTTTTATCTCACCACCGTACATGACAACATTAGGGTTTTTCTAGTCTCCCTCTTAAAACTCTTTCTTCTTTTGTAATTAAAACTTCATTCACAAATCAAAAATCTAAAAACACCTTTAATCATTACTTGAATTTATTTTAAAACTTACAAAAACACTCAACACATCAAAACTCCCCCCAAGGGCATGTTATCTCTGTTCTACCGCGATACCGGCCGTGCCTATTGCTAGAATGCGTGCGTTAACGTCGCCCACTAAAAAACACAAACAAACCAACCATTTTCTAGAGGAACTACGGTGTTCTAATTCCTTCATTGGATACGTAGGCAAAGGATCGCGAAACCCTCACGAACGCAATAATAAAAACCATTCATTTCCCCTTAAGCAAGCATAGTTGTAGATAAACACACCATTTAAGACAAACAAACAAAACGGATCCCGTTGAATACAACGAATGTGAGGGGTGCTAATACCTTGCCCTCGCGTAACCGACTCCCTTACCCTTTATCTTGGTCGCAAGACCATTTATCCATTCCCTTGTGGTTTTATTGATATTTCCCCTTCCTTCGGGATAAATAAAATTCGGTGGCGGTTCTGTGTTTTCTGCCGGTAGCTTCAACGATGAAAGATAGACGCTCACAGAAAAATACAAGTTTTCAAAAACTTCGACACTGTCCCACTGGACGTGCCAATTTGTTTACGTGTGAATTTGATAAACAACCGCTAGTCTTCCAAACTAAATACTTTGGTAACTTACAGGATCGACTAGATTGATCCTAGGACATGTGTCTAAGTTTCTAAGATTAAACTTGTAATGGAATTCATGTTTAACATTATTTTGTTGATAACAATATAAAGATTAGAATTATAATTTAAAGTAAGTTCGAATAAAAGGGTTTCGAATGAGTAATGTAAAGGTTTTGACTGGAAACGTAACGAAACATAAAGAAAATGCAGAATAAATGTAAATGACTTGAAAAAGTAAAAGTTTTGAGTAAAAAATAAAGGAAATACTGGAAATGTTAAAAGACTTGATATTGATAAAGTAAAATGATTCAAAAAGAACAATAATGATGTCTATACGTACATTTTCTGTAACTTTTTTCTCTAACACTTGGTACTTCGAGTATATTGAATAATTTGTACAAAATGAACACCCCTTAAATCCTAACATTAAGATCTCTATTTATATTAATTTGATCCTAACAGTATTTCTATAATAGAGTGCCACGTTCGAAGGTTGCATGTCCTTCGAACCCATCAGACTTTCACGCGTCTTCTATGACTCAAACATTCGATTTCAAATTCAAATTCCTCTCTTCTGTTGGCGCCAAGTTTTCGACGTATATATCAAAAAAACCTTCGATTTCAAAATATATTTAATGAATATTTATTATATTCGTTTTGTCTGTCCATCGAATCATTTCAAACGCTTGGGCTTTTACTCAATTCAATCCAAACGAAGCCCAAACACCAAAAACAATATTAATGCGTTCAAACAACCGCTGTAATCAAAATTCCAAGCCAACACTGACGTCAATTATCCATCCCGAACTCCTATCCTGCAGGGTGACATTATTATTAGTGAAGGTGGCAATACAATTAAGAGAACGATTTAAATGACTGACTGAAAGTAAATTAAATGGACAATTAGGTACATAGAGAACAGAAATAACAGAGAGAGAAGGTAAAATTTGAACAGTACCAATTCTTTCGGATCGGGTTTGAGAACCATTGGCAGAAGTTATTGTAGGTAAGAAACCAGAGGTAGAGAGGAAAGAGAAAAGATTTTTATTACTAGTAACATGACGAGACGCACTAGAATCAAGGACCCAAGGTCCAAGAGAAGATGATTTAGAGAAGTAAACAGATGAATTACCAGTGTGTGCAACCGAAGCAATAGAATCTGAATTCTGATAATTCTGATACGACTTGAGAAAATCATCGTAGTTTGGTGTAAAGTTTTGAGGAGTAGCGATGAGTATCGGATTTGAAAAAGTTGCATGATGGCGAGTGCGATGGTGTTAAAATCGTCGAAGCCGAATCGAAAGAGAAGCTTTTACCGGTAGGGTTAGTTTGTCGAAAAGTCGCCGAAATTAGTAGCAGCGGATAACAGCAGCAGTTTGGTGGTTACCGGAGAATTTTAGAAAGTGGGAGACAAATGGAGTGATGATACGTTTTACAAAAAAAATTATCACCAGAAGACCGTGGATCAACCAGGTAAAACACAGAAGAATTGCCTCTTAATAGACTCTAGATACCATATTGAATTAGGAGAGACTAAGAGACATTTAAGTTAAACCGTGTGTTTTAAAAAATACTACGAAGACTTTATTCGATATAAAGAGATTACAACTAATGTTATGATATAGTCGATGTGAAACTATATATATATATATATATATATATATATATATATATATATATATATATATATATATATATATATATATATATATATATATATATATATATATATATATATATATATATATATATATATATATATATATATATATATATATATATATATCAACAGTGTCAACCGCAACCGCTCAAAGAATTTTCTCAGAGAATTTTCTCATTACAAGTATCATTAACGGAATGTAAAATTGTATGAAAGTTGAATGACTACATACTTATTTGGTTAATTATAAGTGGCATTGTTATTAACATTCAAAACAAAAACCAAAATATTATTTGTTTTAAAATATAAAAAATCATAGAAAACTATTATAATGTATAATCAAACTTTAAAAATAAAAAAGTTTATTTAGTTAAATAGTTTTTTACAATTTTCAAATTTTAAATATTTCCTACTAAATGTCTATTTACATTTTTTTTTTTAATTTGACTGCAAAAGAAATAGTTTGCCATTTATATTTATTCAAGTATACTTACTCAAAAGCAAAAGCACCGGATGAAATGGTAAGAGATCTCAAAAGCACCGGATGAAATGGTAAGAGATCTCAAAAGCACCGGATGAAATGGTAAGAGATCTCTTTCAACTTAACTAGAAGTATAAGCTCTTAGATTCGAAATCAGCTTTAAACATGAAACAGTGTTAAATTCTTTTGAGATAGAATTTTGCCATCTATTATAATCATCTCTGTCTCGAGTGATTAATCTTTGCACTTGCGTGCAAATAATAACCTGATTTTTTACCCCCCAAAAAAAAAACTATGCTTCTCAAGCAAATAAGGACTTAAATATCAAAAGTTGACAAGATAAAATGCTTCTACAGAAAAGCTAAAATTTAACATAACTCAATCAACATCTACAGTTACACTGTCTACTTCTAGTCTTGATTGTAGCAAGTGTTTATTCATAAACAATTTCTCAAGTATGAGCTAAAAGCATATACAATTGTCCAGTTTGTTGTATGCATGCAGATGATAATGAAGAGAAACAAGACTTTTAAAATTAGTCAAAAAACTATTAGAGAAACCACTGATAGTTAAAAACTAAGAACCAGCCTAACATATCTAACCCTTCATTTACAATTGCAGTTATAAACTTAAAACCAATTATAAACTCAAAGCTAGCCTGTGACAAAAGCGGAAAGATTAACTAGTACTCAAATCAACAATACCGCGCTGCATTCTCATCTAACTAAAGGTATGAGTAAGTATTCTGCGTAAAATAGCTGCAATGAGAAACAAGATATCAGTACAAGTTTATGTTCAAGTTTATACATGAAAAAGACGGTAGGTGGTTGATTACCTTCCAGATGAACATGTAGAAGGATGTTATGGAAGCTTTGTTTTTCAAATCTACAGATTTGGCATGATAGTAAAGAAGTGAAGCAAGTACAGCATGTCCAAGACCCTAATACATTGGCAAAAGTTCAGAACTGATGGAAAGTTTAAACAAGTTTGCACTCAGTTAACGACAATTTGTAAAATAATAGACCTAAGCTTTCTCTTGAAAGAATGTCGCCTTTAAAGATTGATTTTTTACCTTTGAAATGAATATCAATTGAATATATTTGTTGGATTCAAAAACATAAGTGGATGGATAGTGATCTATCTATGTTATGAAATGGATGGATTGGATCAAATCTATTAATAGTTAGATTATAAAATGGATGGATGTGGATTATTAGATCTAATTTGCCACCCCTAATTAGTTGGAATATTCTGTAGAACAAAAACAGCTTGCCAAGAAAAATGTTTCCTTAGTAGACAGTACAGATATCTTTTGTTTTACAAGCTGATAATGTTTATAAAAACAATATGAAGACTAGGATGAAGGTTGTTCACCATGAACCATCAATTTTGAACATTAGGTATAAGGTTTTATTAAACAGGTCATATCACAATACAACAACAATAGCCAAGCCTTATCTAGCAGTCGGCTACATGGATCAAATTCTGCATAATGTTCTATGCAAGAACATATTCCTATCCAATTTGTTAATCTCGAGATCTTTCTTATTAGTTTCTCTCCTAATTTTTTTAGGTTTTCCTCTACCTCTAGTTGTTTAACTCCTCTCCATTTAATTTATTCTTCTTACAACCGAATCTACAGATCTTCTCTCTACATGCCCAAACCACCTAAGTCTATTTCCCACCATCTTTTCTACTATAGGTGTTACTCCAACACACTGTAATATTGTCATTCAATTATAATCTTATCTCGTCTAATCTTACCACACATCCAACGCAATATCCTCATCTCTGCTACACTTATTTTATTCTCATTTTGACTTTTAACCGTTTAACATTCTGCCTAGTACAACATCGTAGGTCCTACTGTTGTCTGATAAAATTTTCCCTTCAGCTTGAACGATGCTTTTGTATCACATAAAACCTCTGCGGCTCTCCTCCATTTCAGCCACCTAGCTTGAATTCGATGGTTTACACCCCCTTCTATTTCTCCATCGTTTTGTATTACGGACCCTAGATATTTAAACCACATGACTTGTGGGATGACATGGTCTTCAACTTTCACCTCTAGCTTAAAAACACTTCTCTTTTTACTAAAATTACATTCCATATGCTCCGTTTGTGAAATATAAAGCTGAAAGTGATACTTTATTAAACCAAAGACAATGGCATTATATAGCCTTACAGGAGAAACAACGAAATAACAAAAGCAAGCTAGAAACTAGGAAACAAACTCCACTACAGCTAGAAACTAGGAAACAGACTCCACTACATAACCGTAGATGACTTATTCAACTAAGACAAATTCAAACTCCAACATACCCTCCCTTAAGCTTAACTTTCCTGAATTAAGCTTACTTCAGACAAGTTAACAATTCCAAGTAATGCTCTCAGCTTCTCGAACTACTCCAGCTTCAATGGCTTCGTAAAGATATTCGCAAATTGATTTTCTGTTGCACAATACTCCAGCTTAACAGTTTCTCCGTTCACCAGCTCCCTAAGATAATGAAACCTTACTTCGATATGCTTACTTTTCCCGTGAAGGACTGGATGTTTGGACAAAGCAATCGTCGAACTGTTGTCACAATGAATGACGGTTGCAGACTCTTCTTCAGCTCCAATCTTCTCTAAGATCCTTCTAATCCACACACATTGACAAGCACAAAAGGCAGCAGCAATATATTCGGCCTCAGTGGTGGAAAGGGCGACAACAGGCTGCTTTTTCAATGCCCAAGAAATCGCATCGGGCCCTATCAAAAACACACAGCCTGTTGTGCTTCTCCGATCATCCAAATCGCCGGCGTAGTCGCTATCCGTGAATGCCATAAGTCTCGTACTGCTGCTTTCACTTCTCCTGTAGAAGATTCCAAGTTCGATTATACCTTTTAAGGATCTTAAGATCCTCTTCGCAACAAGCCAATGTGACATCCTTGGATTTGCCATGAATCGACTTATGAGACATACTCCATACATTAAATCCGGCCTGGTCACTATTAGATACATAAGACTCCCAACCAATTGCTTGAACATAGTTGCATCCACCTTCTCGCCATTCTCATCTTTTGTGAGCTTCGTTCCCGGCACAATTGGATTTTTAACAGCATTGCTTTCTTCCATGCCAAACCTTGCTAAAACTTCACGAGCATGCCGTTTTTGACAAATAAAAATCCCATCAACATACATGTTGACAATGAGAATTTTACCTCCATTCGTCTTGGTAAATAGAGTATGCCCGCTCGGACACCTCTCAAACTCCTCATCCAAGAAATATCCTTCAATACGGCTGTACCAAGCTCTCTGAGATTGTTTGAGCCCACACAATGCCTTCCTCAGTTTGTACACTTTCTCCTCTTCTCCTTTCTTTATGAATCCCTCCGGTTGTCACACATACACATTCTCTTTTAGTTCCCCATGTAGAAACGCACTCTTGACATCTAATTGGAAGATTTCCCAATTTGATTGTGCTGCAACCGCGAGAATAGTTCGAATCGTATCGAGCCTCGCCACCGGAGCAAAAACTTTGGTATAGTCTATGCCATAACACTGAGCATATCCCTTTGCCACCAACCTCGCCTTGTATTTGTCGACTTTACCATCTTCATTCAGCTTTGTTTTATACACCCATTTCACTCCAATTGGTGTAAAACCAACAGGTAAGATAGTTAGCTCCCATGTGTTGTTTTTCTCTATCGATTCGATCTCGTTTTTCATTGCTTCTCGCCACACCTTGTCTTTCACTGCTTCTTCGAATTTGACTGGATCGTTTTATGTCATCATCATCAATAGCATGACCAATAAGCTTTCTTCCTCATCTTCTCCTTCACCCGTGACATAATCAGCCAAATAACCCGGTGTTCTCCTTGTCCACGGGCCTGCAACCACTTCTCTTTCAATCGATCTGGATGGAGATGACGAAATTGGACTGGGCAGAGGAGAGACTGGGCTTGGCGGTGTCGAATTACCACCAAATGTGAAAGATGAAGACGAACCAGAAGGCGACAAATTCGCGGTTGACGGAGGACAAGCCATGTCACCTTCTCTCTCTTCTGTATTTTGTTCTTCTCCACAATCGAGTATTTTCTCTTTTACACCGGTTTGATTCCAATCCCAGCTTTTGTCTTCATCAAACACTACATCTTTGCTTATCACGATCGTTTTCGTAACCGGATCATACAGCCTCCATGCTTTTGATTCCTCATTGACTCCGAGAAAAACACATTTCTTGCTTTTGTCATCTAGTTTTCTCTTCTTCTAATCAGGTATGTGCGCATATGCTATGCACCCAAAGACACGAAAATACTCCACCTCAGGTTTTGAATCGCTCCAAGCTTCTTCAGGTGTCATGTCTTCTACTGCTGCTGTTGGAGATCGATTCTGGATGTGCACACTCCATCTTGTAGCTTCAGACCAAAACTCCTTTGGGACTTGCCTCTCACTCAGCATAGATCGTACCGCATTCATTATCGTTCTATTCTTCCTCTCTACCACTCCGTTCTGTTGTGGCGTAAATGCAGCCGTCAATTGTCGGGCGATACCATGAGTTTTACAAAACTCCCCGAATTCATTAGACGTGAATTCCCCTCCACGGTCTGTCCTCAGGCAAGTGATGAAGGTTCCAATCTCCTTTTCAACACTTGCTTTGAAAGCCTTGAAGGTGATGAGTGCCTCCGATTTTTTATGGAGAAAATAAACCCAAGTTTTTCTAGTGAAATCATCAATGAAAGTCAAAATGTACTGCTTTCCGCTGTGTGAAATTGGTGTAATCAGACCACATATCCAAGTGCACCAGCTGCAGCTGTCTTGATGCACGCTAGAGACTCCTTTTTAACATTATACTCTGTGTTGTTTTCCAGTCAGACACACCACACATATCTCCTTCATGGACTTCAGCATCAGCAGCCCAATAACCATCTTCTTTTGTGCAAGTTGTTTTAGAGCTTCTTGGTTTAAATGCCCAAAACGGCGATGCCACAAATTCGTCTCCTTCTCGATCACCTCTTATGTCTTCAAGCACATCGTATTTTTCTGCAATTTGGATGTTAGAAGAAAGAACATCCTGTTGCCACTCATATTAGTCTCCATGATTGCAACTTTCTTGGGATGATATACTTTGCAGGTTCCATCACGAATCAAAATTGCCAAGCCTCTCTACTGCAATTGTCCAAGGCTTAGTAAATTATTCTTGAGCTCCGGGACATAATAAACTTCAGGTATGACTTGGGTGGCTCCGTTAACTTGTACTTTCACGCTTCCTTTTCCCACCACCGACATTCTTGTGTTGTTTCCAAGTTTCACAGATCGATTGAAACCTTCTTCCAAATCGAAAAATCAATCTTTGCATCCGGTCATATGATTGTTGCACCCGGAATCAAGGAACCAAACTTCTTCTCTGTTTGCCCGATGTTTCTCAAAATAAGACATCAAGAGCAGCTCCTCTTCTTCTTCTAGTTCAGCATAATTTGCCTTCTTTTCCCAGTCGGGACACTCATTCTGATAGTGCCCTAACTGGTGACATTTGTAGCACTCGATAATGGCACGACCGACTGCGTTTCTTCCTCTTCCTCTACCGTGTCCTCCTCGGAACATTTCGCGACCTCTTCCTCTACTAGGTCTTTCATCTTGAGACACTTTTAGCGCCAGCTCTTCTTGCACATATCCATTCAATCGCTGCTCATGGACAAGTAGGCGGCCATGTAATTCATCGATACTCATCGTGCTCAGATCATTCGATTCCTCAATCGAACACACCACATAGTTGAATCTCGAGGTTAGCGATCTGAGAATTTTGCTCACGATCGTGCTCTGCTCCATTGACTCACCATTCACCTTCATCTTGTTCACCACCGTCAAGGTTCTTCCTAGGAAAATATCGATCTTCTCTCCTTTCATGGCCAGCAATCGAACTCCCTTCTCAAAGCTTGCAATTGCGTCTTTTTCACCTTTGTAGAGCTTTGATATTTCTTTTTCATGGATCGCCTTAGAGGTACCTTTGTCAAGAATAGTTTCCAGAATCTCTGTCAATAGACTGGAACAAGAAATTCTTGACCTTCAAATCCTTTAACGCCGCCTCTTCTACATATTTGTTTTGCACCTCACTCGCCCGTGTTGTTTCGATTGACATCGCCAGAACCCCATCTTCCACCAGGCTCCGTAATTCTCTGCTTCTCAGAAAATTCTCCATCGTCATGGACCAGAAATCGTAATGGCCATCAAATTTTGGGATGGCCGGCTGCACAAATTTTTCAGATCTCTCAGACATCTCTCTCGATCACTTTTTCACACAGGTTCAGGCTCTGATACCAAATGTGAAATATAAAACTAAAAGTGATACTTTATTAAACCAAAGACAATGGCATTATATAGCCTTACAGGAGAAACAACGAAATAACATAAACAAGCTAAAAACTAGGAAACAGACTCCACTACAGCTAGAAACTAGGAAACAGACACCACTACATAACCGTAGATGACTTATTCAACTAAGACAAATTCAAACTCCAACACCGTCTTACTTCTGCTTAGGCGAAAGTGGTGTGTTTCTAAGACTCGTCTCCATGTCTTCAGCCTCTCATTTAAATCTTCCTTCAACTCACCAAGACAATATCATCTACAAAAAGCATACATTCTGGTGCTAGCTCTTGGATGTGTTCGGTAAATACATTCAAAATTAAAGTAAAAGGGTTGGGGTTTAGGGTTGTCCTGGGTGCAATTCTGTTGTAATGAAGAAAATGCATATAAGCCCCTTCTAGAGCTTCTAGAGAAAATCTGCTTCTTCCGTATTATGGAGAAGGTATGATGCTGAAACTAAAGTAATTTTGTACCCGAATGGGCACATTACGGTAGAGGTTTGTGACTGACCCCTGCAATTGCAAATAGCAAAGCGGATACCCTCAAAGAAAAGAGAGGTTTTGAGCAATATGAGAAGGATCTCTTTGAAAACATGCCCATCTTGCAAGACCAAGCCCTCTTTCATCTTTTCTTTGATCCAGGATAGACTAGTTTTCTTGTGTTTTAGGTTGAAAAGTGGGTAAAACAGCCATTAATGGAAGAACTCGTGCCTTCTTCAATGAAACCCTTGATACGCATTTCGACTTTGGCATGAAAAATTAAAACTTTGAACAAATCAATGGAATTAAGGATGTGGGGTGGAGTTGATTTTGTTGGAGAATTTTTCCAGGAAAATTTTGCAGGAGACAGAATGTATTGGAGTGAGTATAGCTTGATTAGTGGAATCAAACTAAAGGGATGGTGAAAACTGGTAATTTATAAAGAAACGAATCATGGCATATAAGGAATAGGAAAACCAATGCTAAGGTATAATCTAAGTTACTCTATACACCACACCTACAAATGCAATATATATGAGTACGTAACAAGCATATTACCGTGACAATTTTACTCCATAGGGAAGAAGATGTTACTCCGACTACAAGGGCGACTCCATAAGCCAATTCAAGAAGGCAAACACAAATCCAGAATACCTGTCAGATAATTGTTAGCTGACACAGTGGGAAAAAGGAGGGCACGGTCAACTATGATGAGATGTTGCATCTGAAGAACATACCGGCTTCTGACCTAAACGTACTGAAAAAGATTGAATGCCAAATATTTTATCTCCTTCGATGTCTGGTATATCCTATATAAATTCAATACAAAGGTTTATATTAGGTACAAATTGAACCAAAAGTTTCATATTGAGAACAATCGCATACATAAAGAAACTAGAAGCCTTTACCTTGAACAATGCTATAACTACAGAGAAGAAGCTCATGAATGCCGTTGCAAAGATCAAAGGTCTTGAAAAGACAACTGGCCTCTTGTACACAAATGTCTGAACATTGTTACATGAATTAGCAACCGAAAATATCAGACTTTGCAGATAGATTTGTCTTTGTTACAAGTATACAAGTTAATGCATGTTCATCTAGAACTAGAAGTCTCCAAAAAGCACAAAAAACTATTGTATATAACCTGCATGTGAAGGAAAAATGCTAGTTGAACTATAACTGCACGAACAGAAAGAATGCACATTGCGGCGAGCACTGCAAATCTCTTCCATCTCAACAAGGGAACCTAAAAAATTTCAAAAGATAAAATGTTATAAAATTCTGCTTTGACCGTCAAATAACTCTTCAAAATGAGGCTTTCTTTGTGAATGTCTTTTTATAGATGTATTGCAAAACCATTATTGTCTCTACCTAATAAATTAAGCCTTTGGGATAGTTGGTTTATGGCACAATATAACAGCTTTATGACCAAGTGATCTAATTCTAAAGCGTAACCCTTGCCACCGCTTCAGATAAAAAAGTTTAAGTGCATCACAATAAAAGTAGATGCATGTATTGTCCGCGCTACAAGCCCAAAGGGCGTTCGCGCGTGAAAGAGCATATTAGAGTAATATAAAATCATTCTTGTCTCTTCGCCTAATAACTTAAATAGTTGGGATTCTTAGTTCCCGAAAGTCTCTAAAAACATGCTATTTGTCTGCCTGCAAGCTCAAACATGGGTAGAGTAAAAACCTGTATCAACAGTACATGTGGCAATAATATTTGAGAAGTGTTTCAATAACCATTAAAAATGCAATTGAATTTTTTACTTGAACAAAATCTATGTCCTATTAATCGATTAAGAATTTACCACTTGAACTAACGGTGCTATTAATAAAATATGAACCTCACTTTATTTTACAATAAGCACTCTATTGTTACAGAATATCAACTCTTGTATCCCACATTTAACTGAAGCAATTTTCTTCATGCGAGGAAAAGTAAAAGAAATGGATGTTATTGACATCTGTCACCATGAAATTTTGCAGGGCAAATACCATGTTGGATCGAAACTAGTATGATACTGTTCATGTAGATTTTAAATGTATAATCTTAACATAATTATGCCTTAAAAGTATGAAAGGAGAAAGTATGTTTAGACGCATTCAAAAGAACTCACATTGACTGAATAAGCTGTCCCTAGCACAAAACTGACGAAAAGAGCACAAAGCAATGGCCCTGAACCTACAATCCAGCCAAGCCAGAAACTCTGTAAAAGAGAATTAAATAGTAAGTCTCCTTCTACTTCGTTAGTGAAGCTTATTTTGAATGAAAAATGGGAAGAATCTATATGTCACCAAAATCGCAGAAGATGCAACAATAATTGCACCAGTTGCAAAGGAATATTCTCCAGATGCCAATGGAAGATATGGTTTATTTATCTGCAGTAAAAACATGCAGCACAGATCAATAGTGAGACACCATATGGTAGCTACTCACAAAAAATTGTAAGCTGTAAAAGGATGCATGTTTACTGGACCACATAATCCAGGCTACAATAACTGGAGAAGCTTGATAAATCAATATATAAACCAGAGTTTAGTTGTAAAGATCACAAAAACTGCTCAAATTGTTGCTTATGAGCAAACACTCTTGCTTGCATACACATAGTCTGTATATGGTTCTGAATACCCGTCAATACTTTTGAAATAAAGTTGAAAGAAAAGTAAATGAAAGAAGGAATCAAGCTCTGTTTGGCAATGCCATACTTTGAGCTTGTAGCCTGTGTCTTACAGCTTATAAGCTCATATGTTAAGAAAAAGACATGTTTGGTAACGTCTTTTTCTCACAAGCTTGTAACTTATTTTAACTGACTTATAGTTTTTTTTATAAGCTAATTCAAGTAGCTTATGCTTATCATTTTTTCTTTCAATTTTACTCATGCTATCTTAATTGAAAAAATTAAATATTAGCCAAACATAGCTTTTTAAGTCATTTTACAATTATAAATTACACTACAAATTCATTTAGCTAGCTTATTTGCTATCAGTCATCAGCTAGTTTATAAGCTATAAGCTGATGTGCTATAAGCTCATACGCTATAAGCTAGTTTATCAGTTATCAGCTATTTTGTACCAAATAGAGCCTCACTTGTTTACTTCTTCTAGGTGGCGCAGGATTATTGTTTGTAAGAACTATTAATTAGTAAATAATATATCAGCGTTGCTATATATTACGAAGGATAGGCTAATGAAAAACAACAGAGATGTGTCACTTTTATAATAAAAGTCAACAGATTTTCCTTTAAATTTGACACAATACATGAGTAGGGTAGTAAGTGAAATAGGCAATGAGAAACCGATCTTCCCTTTCGTGAAAAGATTGTTCTTAAAAAACAGCATTTTCCATAATATAATATAACGTAATATATTCTACGGATCAAATACTCAGTAGAACTCAACCTTTCTAATAATATACTAATAGATTCTTACTCTAAATCTATTCTAGTCCCTAAAATAATATTGAACTCGAACCATGACTTAATTCTTTTTAAAGTTAACAATGGAAGTTCTATCTGGTGAACTTTTCAAATTCACTCTTTTTTAGTTTGTCCATTACTCAATTGTGAATCTACTTTGACATGAACAAGGAACTAAACTCTAGGAAAAGACAAATTATCCATCCTATCCGACTTTGGATAAACTACACAGCATCTTTGCCTGCATAATATATTTTTGTATACTGGAAAAGCTCAGAAACCCAAAAGACACAATCAATTTATTGGAGATTAGTTTTATTACTTCTAATGGTAAGTTTCATACCTTGTCTATTTCAACATCGGACAATTGATTCAAACCAACAATATAAATATTCATAAACAGGGCAGCTACTACAGCCTGAAACATAAATAATAAAGAAAATAATGAAGTTAGGGGCAAGGGAGCAAATAGAATAACATAAGTTTAAGGAGAAATAACGAATTTGGGGTCTCACCTCCAACACACCTGTAAAAAATAAAGGGGATATATCTGATAGTTTCTCCACTGCAAGAAGAGACACAGAAAGTATGCTTAATGCCTGCCAAAACACAGAAATTGTTAGCCCTTTAAAACATTCAGAATACTACAGTTATTCAAAATAAATGGTTCATGCAAATGTATTGTATTAAATATTGATTATAACATTTGAGGATTAGTTTATGAGATTAAATCTGAGAAAAAAAATTCAACTTAACTGTGCCAATAACTGTGTGTGGCCTGGAAAACCTGTAGAAAGCATCCAAAAAGTTTTTTGGATCAAAATCAGGCTGCTCAGATTCAAAAGATTGTTCAGGGGCCGCTTTCACAACAAATTTTCTATTGCATTCTTGATGTGTAGACCCTTCTTCAGTGCCTTTGCCATAAAGACTTAAACTTGGCTTCAAGAACTTCAAAACGTTATATTCTTTTTCAATATTCCATTTGTGCCTCGAAGCTTTTGGAGCACAAGAACCTAGAGCATCAAATTTTAAATGTTAGTATCAGAGACCATGTTAAAGAAGAAGAAGAAGAAGAAGAAGAAAAATCTTGTTTTAAATTAATCATCAGAGCTAAAGAAAAATCTGCAGAGAAAGAACTTTACTGTCATCGTCTAAACTTATGGAAAGTGAGACCCAAAGAGACTTAGGCATGCTGTGAAGGGAAGTGTAGTAATATAGAGACTCAAACTTGAGGAAGAGAAATTGCCAAGCTAAGTGAGAGTCTACTATTGACTAGATGTGGACCAATGTTGTCAATCGTGGAAAATAACAGTCTGTTCGAATTCCACTATGTTACAATGCTATAACGCCGCTCTTTGACAAAACTCTGTACTACTAAAAAGTGTATCACAAAACATTAGCAGTTTGTTCAAATTCCGCTAAACAATAGTGTATAGAGCCACTAGAATTTGTAACTTTTGCCTCCAAAATTGGTTCTGAGTGTTTTTTACACTGAAATTTATTGTTCAACTCACTTTTACATAAATGTATTCAAACATAAATCAATTCTGCTAAACTCAATTCGGCTAGAATCAATTCTACCAAACTCAATTCTGCTAAAATCAATTCTATCCACCGTCAATCCAAACAAACCCTATATATGTTGTACGCGTGTTTTTAACACCAATTGAAAAACAGAATGCTTTGAATCATCACAAAATCACAACAGCAGAGTTAGGTTATATACATTCAGAAATGGTCTTCTCATAACATGTCATTTTCCTAATAAAGGATTTTAAAAAACGGTCGCATCCGGGAAAACGGACTCGCCAAAGCCGTATTGACAGCAGGGTTCACGTCCGCGACAAAACGGTTTTGAAAGATACCGGTACCGATACCGTTATCACCTTTTTATAGACCCTTTTCCTCAAATTCAAAGGTTGATGAATAAAAAATCATTTTAAGCAGCTTGAATAACAAATTGAAAATGGTAGACATACTTGGAATGGCACAGTAATTATTAGCACAAGCTTTACTCCGCCATAGATTCCGACCTGAAAGTCCATTTGTTAATCAGTAGATAATTTTATAATAACAATAGATGAAATGGAACAAGAAGAAGAAGAAGAAGGATTCATACTAGTGGTGGTGATTGAATACGAGTATGAGTGAGAAAAAGGAGCAACAAGCAACGAATCCATTGAACGCAATGGTGTGAGCAAAGAAGCGCGGTTACCTGCGGAATACCAAATCGAAGAAGATATATGTAGTTATTATAATTTATATCAGTACATGGAATAAACAGTGTCGCTTTCGATTGATTAACTGATGCCAAAAAAGGAATAGCAAGAATGACATGTGAATTGAAAGAGATTCATTTTTCCAAGCAGTAATAATTGTAATAGTACTAGTATGTCGTAGCTCTTGTCTCGTCTATTCTACCTTCTGCTGCTACGGACTGCACGTGTTCTTTGCTCCAATCCTTGAATACACCTGGCCCCAATTTTATAACTACGTTTAAATTTTCTGATGGAACGGATCAAAATCAAATATAATAGAATGATATTATATTATTTAGACCATTTTAAAATTGGATGGTGCATAGCGGAATATAATGATATAGATTTCATTTCATTATTTATCAAGGTTTTTTTATTTTATTTGGAGCATAGCGGAATACAATGATATGGATTTCATTTCATTTCATCACTTATCAAGATTTTTTTTTATTTGAATGGAATGAACAACTTGTTTTGTTTTGTCTTAAAACTTTCAAACAATGGACCGGAACTTTCATTATATTCCGTTCATTTTATGATATCTAAACATATCTTGAGAGTTTTATTAAGGATCTATTTGATTCAAATGAGAGAGAGAATTTAATGGAGGGATGGGACAGGGAGGAAGGGAGGGATTTTTTTTAAATATATAAATAAATATATATATATATATATATATATATATATATATATATATATATATATATATATATATATATATATATATATATATATATATATATATGTGTGTGTGTGTGCGTGTGTATGTTTTTTTGGTTCTAAAGAGAGAAGAGGAGGAGAATGGATGAATTTTGATTAAAAATATGTTTAAGAGAATCAAACACATTTTATTTGAAATATCTCCTCACACCCATCTACTTCAAACCAAATACAACCTAAGTGTTAATATTATTGAGAGAATCGAAATAAACATGATGAAGGTGAATTCTCATTAAAGAAGAAATGAATACAAGGTATGTTTATGTATAAATTATGTTACTTGCACCATAAGATACAACGGATCAACTACACCATAATATACCTTAGTCTATAAGTAACAACTTTTAACTACTTCTACAACTAACTTCTAACTAAATCAAAGTTAGTTAAAAACTTGTAATCTACTATGTTTTATGACTCATTCTCTTTTTTGTTATTTATCACACTTTAATTCCTTGTCACTTACATACTTCAATATCTCCCCGTTAAATAGTTATCATTTTCAACTTGGATAGCCATTCATTAAAAGGTTGAGCGTGCAAAGCTTTAGTAAACAAATCAGCTAGTTGGTCCTTAAACTTGACCGAAATGAGCTTCCTAATGCCTTTGCTTTGTTTCTTTCTCACAATATCGCAATCTATCTCCAAGTGTTTTGTCATTTCATGAAAATGGGATTAGATGCATTGTAGAGAGTAATTTGGTTATTACAGTAAATCGCATGTGTCCTTAAGCATTTCATTTGTAAATCGTCCATGATATATATTAACCATTGCAATTCACAACTAGTTATTACAATAGCTTTATATTCATCCTTTAATGATGACCTTGAATTTGTTAATTATTTCTTTGTTCTCCATGAAATAAGTGACTTGCCAAGGAAGAAAAATCGACCTTAAATTGACTTTCGAGTGTCTATGGATTGTGCCCAATTTGTATATAAACATCCATTCAACTATGTAACTGAACCTCTAGGAATCAATATGCCTCAATCTAGACATATTTTAAGATACTTGAGAACTCTACATGCAACATTGAAGTGAGTTATAGTAGGAGTTGATAAGAATTGACTTAGTTGTTGTCTGCAGAAAGTGATGTCAGGTCTTGTGGCATTTAAATACAACAATCTTGCTTCAAACCTTCTATAAGCAGGTATATCAGGATACAGAGGAGTATTGGAATTTTGGTGAAGTTTAATTGCATGTGTAGAAATTGGCTTGGATTCAATGAAACCTGGATTTCTAACCAATCAAGACAATACTTTCTTTGCCATAGAAAATTCCTTCCTTTGATTGTGCTAACACAATGCCTATAAAGTATTTTATCTTACCCAGATTTTTTATTTTGAATGTGTTATCCAATACCATCTTAATGGGGTTAAATTCATTCAAATCATTTTTTACTAAAATCATATTATCAGCATACACTAGTATGATAGTGAGAGAAGATGCATTAACTTTCACAAATAAGGAATTATCTAAGTTAGCGTGTTTATATTGATGTTCAATGAGAAACTTTGTAAGCCTTTCATATCATCTTCTGCTAGCTTGTTTAAGCTCGTATATGGATTTGACAAGCTTACAAACTTGGTTAGGCTTAGTGATATAGACACTGGATGTTACTATCATGTATACATCCTCTTGAATTTCACCATGCAAGAAAGCATTATTTACATCCAACTGATGGAAATGCCAATGCTTAAAGGATGTTAAGGCTGTGACAATTATGACAATTGTGAGTTTTGCAACTGGTAAATAAGTGTCAAAATAGACAAGCCATTCAATTTGATTGTACCATTTTGCTTCCAATATTTCTTTGAATCTTTCAATAGAACCATCACTTAAGTATTTTATCTTATATATCAATCTACAACCAATTGGTGTGACACCAGGTGGTAGATTTATAACTTTCATCTACATGTTTTCACAACGTCAATAAGTTTAAGGTGCATAGCTTGCTTCTAACATTCATGCTTAGATGCCTCGGTATGATTTTTAGGTTTAGTGTGAGACAATAAGGGTAATGAGTAGTGTGAATATGTAGAAGACAAATTTTGATGAGAGATGAAATTAGGCAAAGGATAGAGAGTACCTTTGGAAGCTTGGCTTGGTGTAGTAGAATAGTTTCATATATAGTCTTGCAGATAAGAGGGATGATGTCGCATTCTTGAGGAGGTTCTGGTTGGTGGATTATGTTTGTTAGTGATATTGGATTCAAGAGATATGGTATTGTTTGTGATAAGGCCAATTGGTGAGCCATGATGTGTGGTTGGTTGATTGGATTAATAATGAGTATCATTATTTGTGGTTAAGTTAGTTGATGATGTATAAGGTGAGTTAGGAATGTCAAAAGTTGAATTAGGTGTGATGTGTGCATGATCAAGTTGATATGTGTTAGTAAGGTTATCAATTATAGATGGAAAATAATTCCATGAAATAGAGGAAGACTGAGTTATGGTGTGATGGAGAATATGTTCATGAAAAATGACATTTATAGATACAAAAACTTTTGTGGCATGAAAATCAAGTATGACATATCCTTTTATACTAGGTTTGTACCCCAGAAAAATGCACTTTCGAGCCTTAGGATCTAGTTTTGTTCTATAAACTTGAAGGGTTAAGGGATAACATAGGGAACTAAAAACTTTAAAAGAGTCAGGGCTAGGAAGTTTATTATGTAGTATTTGGTATGGTGATTTGTGTTTGAGAATAGGAGTAGGAACTCTATTAATAATAAATGTGGCAAACTGGAGGGCAAAAGACCAATATGATTTAAGAAATTTATACTCGTATAAGATTTCTCTATGGTAGGCCGCAAGTATACAACTATATCAATGTAGTATAAAATATATTGTGTCCACATATACCAAATGACTAGTACAATTATCAATTGTTCACGTGCTTATCTAAGGCTATACGAAAAACTTCTTTTGGTGCGAAAATGGAAATAATGGTTTTAACAACAACAACAACAATAATAATAATAATAATAATAATAATAATAATAATAATAATAATAATAATAATAATAATGATAATAATAATAATAATAATAGATCGAAACAATGATTTCCGTCTACCTACGTTGCTCATACAATTTACATCACTTAGTCATAAGTAGCACTATATTTTTGTAGAAAATACTAGATTAGAGGTACCACCCACTTTCGTCGGTGCGTTATTGGACTTTAAACCCGTAATTGCCTACTTTCGCACCGCAAAACCATAAGTTTAAATGTCCCTTTATAAAATATAGTAATCTTTTAATTAATTTAAAAATCCTTGTCCTCATCAAAACCAAACTAGATAGAAGATGACTTATTCACATTTACATTGTTGGTTGTAAGGATGTGGCTTATCTCGAAATGAGAGAAAATGCACCCCATGAGACCGAGGTTAGGTGAGGCTCCAAGTTTGACCATGAAATCATTACCTTGATTGTCTTTTAGAAATGTTTATTTTACTAAGAGATCATTGATGTCCTGCATCAACACAACAAGCTTATGGTTTTTATTTGTGGATGTCTCAGTTAGGATAATTTTGTGGGATGGATTTGTAGAAAATTGAGCCAGTTAAACCCGTTTCTTTGGACAATGATAGGTTGCAATGAATGGTATAAAACTATGTTTGAAGGATATATAAATAGCTTGATATAAAGTCAGAAAAATCATTATCCAAAGGAGTTGTAAATGGTTCCATCCAAATCAACATGGATAGTTGTTTCACAATAACTTTCATCAATATTAGTAGTAGTACATGAGAAGTTGAAAGAGTTTAATTTTATGAGAAGTTGAAAGATTTCAGTTTTATAAGAAGTTCTTTCGTAAGATCAGACTGGAGTTACTCAAGTAATAGAGGATCGAGCCCCATAGTGTCATATCCTATTTTTTACTCCTAATATGTTTAGTCATAATACCACATGCATTTATATCATAAAGCATTCATTCATTTGATTTCCTAAAACATGGGATCAAATGGGCCTTGGTATTAGGGTTTTGGATCATAAATAGCATGAGCATCTTCATTGGCAAGATTCCTCGGGATACAGGTCATCTTCATCAAATATACTTCAAAGATTAAAAGCATTAAGGGTTTTAACTTGTTATGCTTAAGGTTTCATCACGTTTCAATTGAGAATGCTTTGGGCTAGGGTTTTAGTCCTCTTCATGCTCTCAAAACACCTCTTCATTAATGTGCTTTCAAGGT